AATGCAAATGGGGGTTGTCAGCAGAGTGCCATTTGTTGGAGGTAATTTTAATAAAGAATAAAAAAAATAAAATAAAACATTTTATTAATGAGTTTGTAAGATCTGGGAAATAAATGTTAGTAAATATTTTCCACATTTTAATCAAAAATAAATATTACGTTTTCTTGAAAACAACAGCAGCAAATAAATAAAATCATAAAATGCAGTCAATAATTTAGTAATTTCCTCAGTAAGACTTAGTCACATCATTAGATTATCTGAAGGTTTAATATTACCATGACACTGACACATTTTGTTTTCATATCATCGATGACGATAATGTCTTTAAATTGTGACAAATTTTAGCGACCAAGGCTAGAAGGCAATTGTTGGGTCTATAATTAGGTTTTAGTGCAGACTAAACAAACATGATACATGTGTTAATTAGTGAACTGAAGTGCTTCAGCTGAACAGATTTTTATCACAAAAGGAAATAATCACCATCCATCTGTCTTCAATCTTCATGCTAAGGTAAGCTAAGTGGGTGACTGTAGTTTGGTGGATCCATTTTCTCATCCAACCCTTAGAACAAAAATAAACATATTTACTAAAGTGTTAAGTTATTGATCAGACAGGATGCAAAGATAATCCAAAGATGAAAAAAAGACATGCTATATTAATACATTGGATGCTCAGAGCTGACAAGTATTTAGCGAAAATGTGATTATAACAAATTTTCTATTCCAAGCAATTAATATGCATTGTCTAAAATTTGAGTTATGGGGAATTGGTTCAGTATAGGAAAAAAAAAAAAAAGGAAGTGGAACAAAGGCAGATGTAGGATGTAACTGTGTAACCTTGGATATGGATCACTGTGCAGCAGCCCCCCTTCAACAGCCCACATGACGCCAATGAAACGAAGCAGGTAGGTAAGAGACATCCGTTCCATTTGACCCATGCAGCTCAGCAACAACCCCTTCCATTAACTTTCCCCATGAAAACTGAGGTTCGTGCTAGAAAATTAGTGCCAGCCGGGACCTCGGCAGACTGTTCACTGGACTATTTTCACATGGACATTTATATTTTGCCCATGTGACTGGCCAGCACTTCATATTGCGCCTAAAATAAACAGCAAAAAAATCTGAAACTTGTTAAGTGCCTATTTTTTCATCATTGGAAAACCTGAAATATTTTCATTAGAGGTAAAGTCATTATGTTTGCATATACATTATATTGTTACACCGCCAAAAAAAGGCATGGTGTGTTGAAGCCTTTAGGACACTTCACTTCGGTGCATCTTTTCACAACAAGCGTCACAAAGATAGGAGTGCTGATAATCATGGCCCTAATGCTATTCAGCTGTCACAGTGTGGCTGCTGAGAATATGCACAAAATTGAACCCTCCTCCTTCTACAAATCAGATGTGTCGCAGCATCATGAGCCTGTGTATTCCTTCTTGGTTTCCTCAACCTGTGGGGAGGATGCAATTTGGTGCAGTGTGATCTAATCTGATTCCTGCCGGGTGATAAGCTCTGCTCCTTCATGCTTTCCGGAAGTAAGGGTAATAAAGCTTGGCAATGAGTACGTTTACCCAATTCACGTCTTTCAATGGCTGATAGCGACTGCCAGGGGACAAGACTCCAGTGAGATACAGGATGATCTAGAGCTGACCTTGGACCACAGATAGCTCACATAATAGTCTGTTTCAGAGCTCACCTCTTGGGATCACTTAAGCATCAGCATTATTGTAGTGTATCTACAAGGTGTGAAGGAAGCACGCCTAGGTTGACAAAAACAGAGCTTAGAGTTACCAAACATAAAAGGCCGTCAATCGTAGTGGAAAAAAAACACAGACATTGTTGCTGCCATTAAAATAAGCTTGTCAAACAGTAATACGAGTAATACTTTATCAGTGACACTGTATCCATTCAATCTAAGATGAGGGGACTGCTTGTTGTAGCGTGTGAATCTTTTTGAATGCAGATTTTAATCAGGATACAGTGCTAGACAGCTGCCACCCGGGGAGGCCACAGTTCCGGTGTCAAATCCCTTCTTAGAAGGAGAAAAAATACCCTGCGCTGATGCGCTGGGAGGATGCATCCCAGAAGCATCACATAGTTTGCCACTGATGTTTTGGCAGATGCCCTTGCCACATAAAGAGGAAAAAATAATCCAAGATGCTTGTGTGAATTGGTACATGGCCTTTCTGTCTGTTTGCCTGAGGTATCACATGGATAACTGAACTTATTGTGAGGCTACCTGTATCACATTAATATGAAGGATTATAATTAAAGAAAAATTGTACATATTATTGCAAGAGGAAGACAAGAAGAGGAGGAAGAGAGACAGACTAGATAGCAGATAGTCTTTGCTGTTGGGCAGACATTAATTTAGCAGAGGTTTTATGACCACATACAGATCAATAGCACATTTAAAAGGAGTGGGGTGCCTTGAGTTTGGACTTAATTGTTCTCAGTGCTGCTCATCACTTCAGAATGTATTTGAAAATTTACTTTTTTCATAGACAGATGCTTGGGTTAGACTTAATTGCCCTCCATGTGTGGCACGAGAAAGAGATTAAAAGTTCTGGAAGCATTGCAGGGAACAAACAGATTACAATCCCTCTTTCTCTGAATGAAGCTGAGAAGCTATAGTTTTAACCACTTTGGGGGAAGCAATAAGTGCCTTTTTTGAATTTTGAATTCATCAGGGGGTTTCAGCTTGCAGAATCATAGACCACATATGTTTGTTGGTTTTACGGGGAGAAAAACGCCACGTGTGCTTCAGTCATAATCTCATAGGGAAGTTGCTTGCAGCTGTAGTGAAAAACAGTGCAAGAAAAACAAAGGGGTGAACTTTCTGTGCCTGATAAAATTAAATTACCAACAGCGGGTAACCTGCTCACATCTGCAAAAATCTCCTCTTATAGTTCTCTCTGGGTTTTTTCATTCATTCAACCTTTATTTAGACAGATAAGTCACATTGAGCCTAGAAGACACATTGAGCCTAGAAGACTCATTTACAAGTGAGATCTGTTTAGACAGACAAAAAAGTAGTGAAACTGGGCACATAGGAATATGGAGGCAAAAAAATTGCTATCAGACTTTTTTTTTCCTGGGTTGTTTATGGTTTGAAATCATATACAAAATCACCACTGGTGGTTTTTTTTTTCTCCATGAGAATTTCCCTGTATGCTCATTTGCCAATGCATTTAGCTGCAGATGAAATCTATAAGTGTAGAAAAAAAACAACAACTATTACATCTGCATTAATGCAGGCAAAAACACATCAAACATCAATACGTTTTACTTATATATGCAACTGTCAGAATGACCCATCCATCCATTATCTTTTACATGCTTCTTTTTTGGGTCACGGGGGTCAATGGTGCCCATATCCAGCAGTCACTGTGCAAGAGGTGGGGGACACCCTGCACAGGTTTCCAGTCCATCACAGGGCCACATAGAGACAAAAGAGACAAACAACCATTCACTCTCTCACTCACACCTCGGGACAACTTAGAGTTAACAATCAGTCTAACGTGCATGTTTTTGGTCTGTGAAAGGAAACTGGAATACCCGTAGAAAACCTACGCATGCGTGGAGAGAACATTCAAACTCCACCCAGAGAGGTCCCAGGCTGGGATTTGAACCTGCGATCTTCTCGCTGAGCGGAAACAGCTCTACCAACTGTGCCACCATGCCGCCCATCAGAAAGACTTGTTTGAACAAAAATACGATCACTGGGTAAAGTAAAGCTTGATAAATGTGACAGCAAAAGAAATATGTCTTATCAGGCTTATGAATAATTTAAAAAATAAAAATATTCATGCAACTGCAATGGGAACTACAGACTGCCACATAATTTGCTTTGGAATCAATAAAGTATGTATTTATAAAGTATGTATTTATAAAGTATGTATTTAT